CTCGCTCCGGGGGAGGAGGGGGAAGAACCCCGGAGTTGTCCCCGTGCCGCCGGGGAGCGGCGTTTGTACGGAGTAAATTAGTTGTTGCCTTTGCAGTCGCTGCTTGCGACGTGGGTCGGCTGTCGTGTTCCTCTTGCGGGGCGGTGCGAGAGTTATATAATGCTGAAGCGACCGTTGGAATTGTTTTCTTCATGCCCTACTATTGTTTAGTAACTGTGTAATTTATTAAAAATATAACGAACTCGGTAACTTGCACAATGCAGTTTGCCCTTTGGATGACTAACGTGCCGAAGGCCAGCCGGGAGAGCGTTCAGTTGTGCCGCTTTCTCATGGAGTAGTTGAGAAACGGCGGAATTGAGACCTTCACTGCAGTTTCTACCGGGTAGCCCAAATGTATACGTGAACTGTTTTTTACCTCTCGCTGCAGTCCTGTTATGTGTACGAAATGGACTCACTCACAGTTAAACATTAACAACAGCTGATTCGACCTGTTACTACATCACCAGCTTGTCTTCATTTACGCTTTTTTACTGGTAATGATGTTACTGTTAAAACCAGGCCAGCTGGTTGCAGCAGTGTTCCTCTGCGGAACAATAGCCCAGCGCTGCGGAGGGCTGCTGCCGGGCTCGGCGAGAGGCTGCTACATGCCATCGTGGGAAACGCGTCTCTCTCATTTGCTCCTGAAACTTGACTGGTATACCCTATTTTAGCTATCCTTAAAAATAATCTTACGCCATTTTCCTTTACGTTTTTTTTATTCTTTGTAAGTAATCTTGTTTGTTCTGACTTGCATAGTCCTCACAGTGTTTCTGCTCATCCTGGAACCGTTTGGAACGTTAAGCTGTGCGGGGGGCATCCTTTCATGCTGTAAGCAATAGATGAACCACTGCAAATGCTCACATGTTAAGCATGTCACTGAAGCACATTTCTGAGAAACAGTTGTGTGCCAAGTTCTGGTTATTCAGTTGGTGAAAGAAGAAATTAAAATGAGTAGGAAGTTGAATATTGGTTTTGGTTGTTTTTTTAAAATAGTGAATGTCAAACCGCCAACAATGGGAAAAGCAAGTAAGCAAACGTAGGCTTTTTAAGCTCACACTGAAACTTGCACTTTGTTCTGCGCTTTAAAACTAAAAAACACTATGTGCATACGTCAGTGTAGATTTTCTGTTAGCAACTCCTCTGTGGCTAACGTGGAATTGATGTGCATATGTGTCCTGCCTCGGCACAAGCATTGCTCACGGGACCTTGTTTTCCAGTGCCAAATGTTTTAAGAGAGGACAAGGAACTTAAAACCTACAGTACAAGTCAGCCCTTTGCAGAGTGCAGGGAAGCTCTCGTGTGACTCGTTAAGTGGTTGCGTCCTGTACTAGCATTTCTTAAATTCTTCCGTAAACAAGGGCTTTACATTTGTTTCTGATTTCTTTGCTAGAAGTGGCATGCATGGAAATATTTGGACAGCCACAAATATTGGAGCACAATATTGAGTAACACTTCTTAGGCTTTAAAACTTTTTCTCTTGTAAGTTAGTTGATATGTAATTACCATTTAGACTATTTTAAAATAAAAAAGGAAGGGTTTTGATGATATTTTCACAACCTAGGCACAGCCCCATTAAATTAGGGAGCCTGAAGTATTTGTGGTCAGTCAGAAGAAATAATTATCACTTCTTAATTTAGCTTCAGGTAAACTTTCTTTTATGAGAAACTCAATTTCTTTTTGGTTAGGAGAATGTTAAGCAGAGTAAAATAGCATTTGTAGGATTATGTTGCCTTAATAATTACATTACAGGATGTTATCGGTGTAGGCCTTCAAAGGAGAACTGGTATCTTTCAGTGAATAAGCCCCTTTGCACTTAAATCCACCCCCTCCCAACGTCACACACACTTACATGCCAAACCTGTAATACAAGAACAATATTGTTCTGCTAAACACAGTTAAGTTTATTGAACAATATTGGGTCTGCTCCAATCCCCTTGGGTGGTTTTCCCCACTTTTTGTGTTTTTTTTTTTTTTTTTTTTTTTTTTTTTTTTTTTTTTTTTTTTTTTTTTTTTTTTTTTTTTTTTTTTTTTAGGCTGAGCCTGGAAACGTAATTATTGGAGAGACCCAGGTGTTCAAAAATGGGCTTAAATGGAACTCCTGTATCCCCTTAACAATACAGACAAGCTATCTGCCAGATAGTGGTTTTTAGAACTCTTATGCTGACTTATGAGCAAGGAGATAAGCGTGCACATAAGTCTGCTAAATTCTGAGCTTTAAAGTTCAATAAACCTTGATGAAAATTGTTTTTATTATTTTGGTGCCTCCATAAAAGGAACTAAAGTCTCCCATTCTATAAAACCTGTATCAAAAGTGTCTGTAAGCCATTCATAGGCTGAAGTACAGGAGTTAAGATGTGCTGCAGAAAGCAAAATAATTTGTTTATTCTGAGCAGTCCCCCTCTTACAAGTCCCCCTTTTACAAAGTCCCCCTTTACAAATTTGTGTATTAATTTAGCAGGGTTTTTTCCTAGCCAGTAGAACATTGGAACTTGGTTCTTCTGCATGTCCGGTAAAGTTGAACAGGCAGTCATGGTTCTGAACTCCTGTTTGTTTCAGTGGACACTGGCAAACCTGTAGAGACCTGTCTTAAAGAATTACATTTGAGAAATTACCTCCTGCTTTTTTTTCCCCACTGCCGTGCTTCAACATGACTTGACTTTAATGTGTGTTAATCTCTTCCAGATCTCTGTTTAAACTTGCTTTGATTTATGTTTTCAGTCTTAAACCTAATCAAAGCAATGTGGTGTATTCCTTACTACTTTAAAAGATCTTGGAAGATCTTGGCTTTAAGTGAAGGTAATGAGGCTTGTAATTTATCAGCATCACTTTGTTTAATTGCTCAGAGTAAGATTTTTGTCATTTTTCATGTAAGTGTGGCATTTTCAGATTTTCTCATCTTGTTTCAAATTGTCTTATGCTGGGGGAACGCACTGCTCCTGACTGCTTAGCTGTCTCTCTCACTCTTCAGCCTGCAGTCAGCTTTTGACTAGCTGTGGTAGGTTATTTGCATTTTGAATTAACTAGGCCCTTCTGTAACCGTGCAGCCTTGTCTACAGCAGTGGTGTGGAGCGTGGTACAAATGCATCTGTTTTGCTTCGGGCTCTATTGTGCCTCCTGTTTAAAGCTGTTCCTGCTCTCTAAAGGGGTTGCGTCCAAATGCTTCTGAATGTATTCAGAATGTACTGATAGTTTTAACTCTTATTTTTCCTTTAATTTTTTTTTTTTTTAAAGTTAAGGAAGGACAACTGGGAATGTCTGACTGATTTGACTGGGGATATCCAAGAGCTCTGAAGAGAAATTATATTTCTAGTCTAATTCAGCCTTGCTTTAGTGCTTTCCACTTTGCCCCACCCCTTTCCTGACAGTCTGGGGAAAAGGGTTTGTAGCGCAAAGCGGTCACAGCAGCTGTACATTTCAAGCTTTATTTCTAACAAACAACTGCATAAAGAAGAGGCTTGGTAGGTGATTCACAGCTGAACCTGTTTCTGCTATATTTAAATACAGTTGTGTAATAGCACAGGCCATTGTTTACAGTACAGACTGAATTTGAAGAGATATCGCTGAGGACAAAATACAAGTTATTAGGGTTTTTTGTTCATTGGATGGGAGTTTTGTCATAATTTGAAATGATCTGAAATATTTGTCTTTTGTTTTCCCAGGTTCCTGTTGCATGTAAATCATGTCCCTGTGGCTACATATTTATTAGTCGAAAACTCTTGCATGCTAAACGGTCTGAGAGATCACCACCCATCACAGGTAATACTTGCAGAGACAAGAAGAAGTGGACAACAGTTCTTTCCCTTTATTTCTTGGACACAAAGGATAGAGTATTTTACTTCTCTGTGTAAATTGACTGTTGTCAGTTCACTTTCCCTTGAATTTGTGCATGGTAGACTAATATGTTAATTTTTCTTGAATTTCGAGGGGGGGGGGGGAAGCCAGCGTTTTCAGTCTTACTTTCTTTGTATTTGTGGTGTTGGCATTTATTGTGTATATATTCTAGCTGCACATGCACTATGCAAAATAGTGACCACCATGCAAAATAGCTAACAGAAAGCTTTCAGTTAATCCTGTTTTGAAGCTAAATGTCTGGAGGTGCCAAAGGGATCATATTGCAGAGTACATGCTGATGGAAGCTGGGTTTTCTGAAAGTAAAAATCCTCTTTTTTTTGAAGAAGTTATGCTGAGTTGTACTTATTCGTGAACACCCGAATGGCACTTTTTATAAAATTGGTCATATGTTTAATCTAAAACCAGGTGGGTCTTGCATGGTTAAATTAAAAAAATAGTGCCTTTTTTGTGTCTGACTTGTGTGTCTTTTGTTGTTGATGGGCGCAGTAAGAAGTCGGTTGAATATGCATTCTGGCATGATTAACATTCTCCTTGTGTTCATTTTTATCACTTCCTCCAGTCCTAGTAGGAATTAGTCAGAACAAGCACCTGTCAGGGATGACATTTAAAAAACAAAAGAAATCTGATTTATAATGTCTGCTTTTTAAAGTTATGTACCAGGCCTACAAAATGGAAACTAAGTATTTGATATCTTATATTACTGTTTTGAAGGATACTTGTACTTTACAAGCTTGTAGGAATTGTGACATTGGCCAGATAACTGAACTTTCAAGGTGGAGGAGGTTAAGCAATGTCTGTGGTACTGCTTGGAAGTGTTAGTCGATTTTCTTTCCCCCTCCCCAATTGTTTTATTTGAAAGTTGGTGAAGTAGTTTTCAAATGAAGCTGAAAGCCATAATCTGGTGGAGCAAAGCTCTTGTATAATTCAGCTTCGTACATAGGAAATGCACAGATGTATGCTGGGGGCCACCCTGCTGGAAAGCAGCTTTCCAGGAAAGGACCTGGGGTCCTGGTGAACAGCAGGTTGAATGTGAGCCAGCAATGTGCCCTTGTGGCAAAGGCAGCTGAAGGTATTCTGGGCCACACAAGGCAAAGCATTGCCTGTGGGTCCAGGGGATCCTTCCCCTCTACTCGGCACTGGTGAGGCCACAGCTGGAGTACTGTGTCCAGTTCTGGGCTCCTCAGTGGAAGGCTGACATGGACATTTTGGAGAGAGTCCACTGAAGGGCCACAAAGATGATGAAGGGACCAGAGCACCTCTCCTCTGTGGAAAGTCTGAGGGAGCTGGGACTGTTCAGCCTGGAGAAGGGAAGGCTTGGGGGAATCTTATCAATGTATATACATACCTGAAGGGAGGGTGTAAAGAAGATGGAGCCAGGCTCTTGTCAGTGGTGACCAGTGATAGGACAGGAGGCAAGGGGCACAAACTGAAACACAGGGTGACTGAGCACTGGCACAGGTTGCCAGAGAGATTGTGCAGTCTCCGTCCTTGGAGATACTCAAAAGCCATCTGGATGTGGTCCTGAGCAACCGGCTCTTGGTGGCCCCGCTTGAGCAGGGGGGTTGGACAGGTTGGTCTCCAGAGGTCACTTGCTACATCAGCCTTTTTGTGATGCTGTGAAATGCAGATTTTGTACTAACATTAGTGACAAGTTACTCTGCTGTCCAGTTTGTACCCTGTGTCTACACAAGATAAAGAGGACAACTGCAGCAAAAGGAAGCCAGTTCCCCAGGAAGACATAGTGGGGGACCATGTATGTCTGTATTGTGCTCGTGAGGTAACTGCAACTCCTTTTAGAAAACATTGTGCTGGCATTTTCAAAAATACAGCTACTGCAGAATGGTGCTGCAGCCTGTCTGTGTTAAATAGTGTGCTGTGGTGACTACTGTTTTCAGTACCCAAGCTTGTTAATCCATACTTAACTTAGAAGTGAAACTTGTGTAAATACTCTTTTTTGACTCTGGTGTGTAGGAAAACAATACACCTGTTCAGCATTAAGTATTATGAGGCCTTGTCATAGGCTAGAATTGGTGGGACATGTATGCTATGTAATATGGCATTTACTGACAGCATTGTTGACTCAGCATCTTGATTTGTGTGAGCAGCAAGAATGATTTCATTGTTAGTGTCAAAAGAAGATTAAGTACTTTGCTGTTTGCCTATATGATAAACTTTTTTTTTGGCTAGTGGAAACATGCACTGGGCAGTCTTGATGGCTGTGATCTGTAGTTTTTTTTCCATCTTATCATGGGAAACGGTGAATTTATGTACTAGCAAAATGTCTCATGTTGCAAAATGCATTTGAAGTAATTAAAGGCTTGATCCTTGTAATCAAGAAGTGAAGTATCATCCTGGATCTGACACCTTAATTTCTCCATGGATATTGTGCAGCTGTAATTGTTCCCCAAAGACATCTAACCACTTCTGCTAAGAGGTTTAAAGAAAAAAAGGTGATTGGGTGAGGAAAGCACTAGGAGTAAATTAATAACAAAGATGAAAACAACTCTAAGTCATGCCATCTCTATTCATTTGTGCAGAAAACAAGAGTGAGGCCAAAAGAAGACGGACAGAGAGAGTTAAGCGAGAGAAGATAAATTCTGCAGTAAATAAAGACTTAGAAAACCGAAAAAGATCCAGGTCTAACAGCCATTCAGATCATAGCAGACGAGGAAGAGGAAGACCGAAGAGTGCCTCAGCCAAAAAGCACGAGGAAGAAAGAGGTATGAGAACTGGAGAAATATGTTCATTGGGTTTTCTTTTTGCATGAAGATTTTTTTATCAATAAACCTTTCAAACCATTTAAGTAATTAGACTAGTTCAGTCAATACCTGATATCTTAACATGGGGAAGAGGCTGTTTCACACCTGCAGAGACCTCTGGTTTTATGTTTCAGTGTCTGATTGGAACTAACTACAAAGAACTAAATCTGTATTTTTAGCCACCAAATCAAGTTTTGACATGTAGATTGAAAGCCACTGGACTGTAGTGCTTAGTAGGTTGTTTGGTTTTGTTTATTTTTCTGAGGTATTGCTGCTTTATATCATAAGGACAAACAACATAATGATGCCTGTTATCAGAGAGTGATTAGTATGATTGGATTGCTTAAAAAATGTCTTGAAACCTTTTGGAGGCCATCTTGAGTCACTACTATGGCCTGAATTTTTGTCTCATGTTTCTACAGGGTAATACTCTAGAGAAAAGAATGCCTCCTTGCTTATTAAGATTCCATGGTGACCTGCTGTTCTTAATCTTTATACAATAAAGAGACTGTTAAATGCAATAGAGTAATTTTGGAGCCCCTCAAGTATGTGACTGTCACTCAGGATTCCTATTTTTTTAAGAGCCTATTGAGACTGCATTTGCTAGCTGTGGTTTTGGAGATACTAATTTTAGGCCTGAATAATTAATCCAAAACTTAGCATAGACTTAAAAAGTTTGGAAGGCAGATAGGAGGGGAAGAACAAGACTTCATATAAATATTCAGAAGATCTTGTTCTTAAAACTAATGAAACCATCAAGGATGCCTTGTGGCATAACTCAGAAATGCAACTGGTTTCCCCCCCACTCCCGCCACCTTATTTGTTAACAAAAATGGGTGATAATCCATGTTGCAAAGTGAATTCCTTTATCTTCTAACTTTCAAAAACAGTTTTGTTGTGTCTGCTGTTTAATGTAAATCGTTCTTAAAGTTTCTTTCTATAAAAGCAAAGTATAAAATGGAATTTTGTTGTTGTTTTAGTGCTTTGGCTGTGGAAAGAGGAGATAGAACTTTGATTTTTGTATGTTTTCTGGTTGGCAATTGCTTTACTGTAATAGGAATACACTTATAATATCTAATCTCTTCACTGTTGTATATGGCTTATTGATGTATGTAGCTTCTCAGAATACAGAGCTTCCCTATTTGTTACTGATCCAAGCTAGGCTTTGTCCAGCACCTATAGGATCATTTCTAAGCATTTTACTGCCAGTCTAGTTCACACAGAGGTTTAGTTTGAAAATCCTTGCAAGCTTGTTGGGTTGCCCTATAAAAGTAAATCTTCTTTGCTGTTCCCTGAAAAAGAGGAAAGCAATCTAAGCAATCAAAAGAAAATACCCATTCTCTTAATGCGTGTCTTATAGTCTCCAAAACACAAGAATTTGAAAGCATGCGGGATATTTAGAGAACATGTTTTCCTATGCAAAACTAGGCTGAATGTTTTTAACCTCTTGCTGCATACTTAGAAATGTGACAATATGCCAGTGCTCTGAGATAGAAAACTAGAAATACGGTTGTAGTGAGATCTTTGCATAAGTGCGTGTGTGTAGTGTGTTGTTTTCTTGGTGTTTGGTGTTTTGGGGTTTTTTTAAGTTGAATCTCACTTGAGAAGATTGCCTTCATCTTCTTCTGTCCTGCCATCCCCTTTACTTGGTACTGTGACTACTGCTACTATTTCTTCTGTCACCTCTTCTGTAGAGCTGGTACAGATCTTGCATTCACATCCACACCCACACTCTTTGCTCCTCACCAGTACAGCACCCCTTATTGGTTAGGAATAAGAGGGCTTGTGATATTTTCTTATTTCTGACTTATTTCTCGTTATGTCAGACTGTAATGTTTGTAGCCCACTGTGATGATTATTGGGCAGATTTAAAAAAACAAACAAAAAGTTGATATATATGGCTATAAAAATAATCTCAGCAGAGAACCCATCATTTTGTAAGTAATTAAAACAAGTTAACATTGACTTCTCCCTGTTCAAGTGGCTTATGAAATGGTCTTAACTACATGTGGAGTGGGGAATTTTAGAAATATTCTTTCTTTACCAAACCTGCTGCTTGATAGTGTTGCTTGCGTAAAAGCGTATTAAGCAACTTTAATTCTACTGCAATTAAGGTGATTTTTGTGTGACTCACTGTTAGTCCTTATATCAGTCTGCATAGCGTTGAAAGTCGGTTCTGGAAGTGCAAGACATTAGCTTAGTGTTAGACTTGAAGTATATTATTGCCTTGCCTATTGTATATTTCTAGGATGTTTTGGGTACGCATTACTTGCCACTAGAGATCGTGCTATTCTTCCCCCCAAAAGACTTGAAAAGAGGCCACTGCTTGCAAAGATGTGAAGTATTTGGTGCCCCTCAGGCTTCTGCAATGCTCAGTGCATTTGTAGATGAAAAACAGGACAGAGAACACCTGAATTATAATGGCACACAAGAGCAGATAATCTGTCCATTTGAAGACCACCCAGCTGTGAAAATTTTCTTCCTGAAGACACCCATGACATCTGTAGCTTTGCTTCCTTGCTTGCGTCGTGCTCTCTTCATACGTAGTGTGCTTGTTCCCAGTTATGGCTGTGCCTTTGACTAGTTCATTTGTATCCTTCGTGGCTGGCTCACATTAGAGCAAAGAGCTGCAGGATTCAACAGCAGTTAAGAACAGCAGAAGCAAAAGGGCTTTTTAAAACAAGCTATTTTCCTGAAGATGTAGTAAGAAGGGCTAGAGGGAGAGGAAATGGGAAGCTGATGTAGTTCAAGAGGATGGAGGGGATCCCAGAGTGCTGGGACCCAGGGAATATCCGTATCACATGTTTCAGAGCATGTGATGACCCTGGAAAACAGGAACTTCTCACTACAGGCTTGGGTTGTCAAAACTGTCAGTTCCTTTATTAGAAGTGCTACAGTACATTTTGATAATACATTTTCATAATAATCTGATTCTGATTTTTGTGGTGGTATGTTTTTTTACTGTGTGGGACTGTGAAACACAGCTAGACAGGTTCCCATGCTGCCTTGTTATCTAGGTAACAACCTTAATTATACTGAAACAAACAAAAACCCCTTTGTATGCCGGAGGAAGTGGTATTGGTTGTTCTGCTTCTGAAAGAGATTACCATTAAGTGAGATTCAGTAAGAGTGGCCTGGAGTATTACTAAAGCATACTTGAGACTTAACAAGGGGTGAATCTTTTTATAAAGATATATACATTTCGGTATCCTGATAAAACTTAAGCTGAATTAAAGTTCTTGACCCCAGTTTTCCTTTTCCAGTAATTTCCTACTGTATTACTTGTACATTTGCTTGCTCAATGTGTATGTTTGAAGTAGTTTACTAACTTGGATGGTCAATCTCAGAACTTTGGATTTTGAATCCATGCAAAATTTGTGAGGGGGGAGTGTCCATATTTGATTTATACATAGATGACAATTTTAAGGGCTGTGGGTCTAGTGGGCTGCAGGAGATCTGAGGATGTGAGAGCGTTCTACAGAAAGACCGAGTATTTTCACTTCTTAGTTGTATATCCAAAGACTTAGTATTTTTAACGTCTTACAAAACGAATGTGATTCTGTAAGACAGTCTTTTGCTAATAATAAAGTAGTGAGTCAAAACTACTTTCAGATAAGACTGTGAAGCGGAAAGTTTTAATAGTGTCTGTAGAAACCATGGTATCCTATGAGTAGTTATGATAAAATGTCAGGCAGGTGCAAGCTCTTCACTTGCTACGGATGAGAACTGGAATTTGTCTTTAAGAATGCAGAATGCCTGCAAACCTGTGTGAATCCCTGATACTATTTGATACCAAGATTTCAATTCTTCAAAGCCGCAGTCTCTCAGAACAAGCCAGTGCTTTGGGAGGACAGGGGGAAGGGAAACTTGAGAAAGTTTTTTTGCTAAGTCATCTACAATCTGTTAACAGTAACCCGGGGGGGGGGGGAGGGGGAGGGGAAGTATTTTTAATTTTGCTGGGTGCTGTTTGGATCAGGAAGTATGAAAAAATGGGAGGGGTTTAGATATGAAAATAGAAAAGGTTAATGGGGAATAACCAGTGTGTGTAGTGTCTGTGCTCAGAACAACTGCCAGCATTGCTAATTTCTAAATGGTGGGAGGGAGGAAGTGGAGCAACCCAGACTGAGCGTACATACAGAAAGTGATTTGTCTTAAACTATAGGGTAGGACTTGCAGTAAAACTCAATTTCTCAACTTTCATTTCAAACTCGGTGCACTAGAGAATATTGTCTTGCATAGCCAGGGAACAAGCAGAAATAGTTTGCGTTCCAAATATTAAACGTACTTTGATTTGTTTTACTTTGCTAAGGCAAGTTTCTTGTTTTCAGACTAAAAACTGATGCATCTTTGTGTGTCAAGGCTCCTCACTATGCAATTTTACTTGTGGGGAAAGGTGAGCTTCTGTGTGATTTTAAGTTGTCTAGAAATCTTTAAAGAGTTTTGTTGCTGCATGTCTCTGTCAGTATTGAATCAGGACACAGTGGTAAAGGATTTTTCAGTTTCTCCCACTTAGGTGTTTAACACAAGCACTTGACTTCACAGGGAAGGTAGTCTGTTGGAATGGTTTCTGTAGCTGTAACACAGACAATCAGACATGAGGCCAAATTTAAAAACGTTGTCATGAATGTGGACCCATGGAAAGAATAACCATATGAGTAGGTGGAGATAAGAGATGCTGGGGTCATTCTTCCGTATGGTGCTTTCCATTATTTTCCAATACTGCTTTCTTTCACCTGCCCATTGCTGGTTTAGGTGTCTTGGAACAGTCTGCCAGAGTATGGTGTGGCCAAAAAGAGTGTGCATGTGTGTGTCTGTGTTAATGGGACAGAAGGGTCGCTCAGGTGGGTGTTGTGATTGTAAGTTAGTCCTGGCCACTGTGGAACTCGGATTAGAGATGGAGTTCCACAGCTAGACACCAGCCTTTAAAGCTCTATATGTATTCTTCTCTTCTCTCTGTCTACAACCTTGGTCTTCTGCTGACAAAGCTGGTTGTTGTTGTTTTGGTTTTTTTATGAGTTGTGTCAGCTACCCGTAGCTAGCTAAAGTGGAACATAAGTAGTTGTGATCTGGAGTAAGTGGTATTTATGAAAGTACTATTCTATTAGTTTTGTCATATGCTGTAGTGTAACTTAGTTTACTTGAGCACTGCAGTACGGAAACTTCTTGATGCCTTGCTGTTGTGTATCCGTAGCCTTGAAAGAAGCCAACATCAGTAGAGGGGATTCAGAGACTTTCCTTTGCTCACTGAGGTGTTAGCATTGTTCTATAACTGGGATAAGATTGAAAGTCTGTGGTATAGAAAGTCTGGAAATGTTCATGGTGACAAATTGGGAACCTGACTTCTGCCATGTATCTGCTCTTTGGTCTTGGACACTGTAATTAAAATCTTTGAGTTTCTGTTACTTATATGTAAGATGGGGGAGAAATGCCATTTTTAATGAGGATATGGTGAAATATCTTTCTAGGGTGGGAGGTATTTATGTAAAAGCAAAAAAAAAAAAAAAAACCAAACCAAAAACCATGCAAACCCCAAAACTGGAGGAACACTTGAATACTCTTTTGTGTCAGGAATCAATGTAATGTTAGTGACTCATTCTTTCTTTGTCATTAAAGAACAGAAATTCAGTCATGCTTTTGGATGACTAATTCTGTGACTCTTCTAGCACCTTTGTGTGCCTCCATTCCTTCCTCCTTTCTCTCAATCCTTCCCTGCATAGGAGTTGATTGTCTAACTTACTTTCAATTCTGGTACTCCATTCCATATAATTTATTAACTACTGTGTAAGTTGCATTAACTTTGGATAATGGAAAAAGCTTCTAATAGTGACTTTTTTTTCTTCTACAGAGAAACAAGAAAAAGAAGTTGACATGTATGCTAACCTTTCAGATGAAAAGGCCTTCGTATTTTCAGTGGCCTTGGCGGAAATAAACAGAAAAATTATCAATCAAAGACTTATTCTGTAATTTGTAAGCACAATCTGGTGCATTTATATGCAGAATGGCTAGCATATTTCCAAGGTGTCGTGGACTCTCGGAAACTGTGTTGTCTGCACCGACAAGGACCATAGTATTTCCTGTTAAAAATACTGCTGCTGTTCTTGGAAATCGAATTCTGTCTCTACAAGTCAGAAAGAAAGTGTTCACAAGATTGTGCTATGAAAAATCAGAAAGCAAATATGTTTTACACCTTGAAGACAAATGCTAGACAAATGCACAGAGAGACTGCACCCATTCCAGAGCACTTCTTTTAAATTTGCTGCCAGAAATGCAATATTTTAAATATTTTCAGAAATAAATGATTTTCCTTTAAAACTATATATTTCAGATTTTTCAGCTATATTGCAGTTTACGTATGTACAGTTCACATAACTTTTTAATAAATTGATATTCCAATATTTTATTGAACTGGGAATTAAGTACATTTGTGATATTTAGGGTGTGTTGGTCTTAATCCTCTTAGAAATCTGGTATTCATCCTAGGGGTGACTTCAGATTTGCATTTTTTTTAATAGGTGTGATATAATTCCTATAGGAAGAAAATTAAAGTGATTTCATTTGGGGGGATTATTCTGCTTGACAACTTGATATTGTTCATGAATTCTCTCTAGAAAATGATTGCCTGTTACAGAGTTGTTTTTTAAAAATTGTATATACTTTTTGGGGTCAGACTCCTGAAGTTTGAGAGCCAAGCGCTTGTTTTGTAACCACTGTTTGCTGTGTCTCTGCCTTGTCCAGATGGTAAGTACTCCTCCTATACTCTTTCTTGGACCATCACTTACTGGAGGGGGAGAGAAGCAGCCATCAGACATGTAGATCTGCAGCTAGCATCTTCTTGCTGGTATTTCCAAAAGATGAGGATATGCTAGTTCCTTTTACTCTCATCAGCTTTTTTTTGTCTGTCTTTTGAAAGTGTAATTCTTAGTGGTATTGTCTTCAGACTGTTGACTGTAAATACCAAAGCAAAGGTCTACATGAGTGTGCAAGAATTAGCTGTTTTGGTAGAAATAGGTTTGGGGAAAACATTCAACAAAGTCATCTTTGTTAAAGTGATATAGTGCAATTTGAGCCAAAACTCTAAGATTAGTAAATATATGGGGGTTTTGCCTTACAGCACACCACCCCCCACCCCCCCAAAAAAAAACCCCAAACCAGTTCAAGCCCTGTAAAATCCTGAGGGAGGAGATGTAGAAGGCAATTGCATTCATAAAATATGACATAGGAGCTTTTTGTCATTTTTCATTCACTCTTTTCTAAGAAGCGGAATACAAATAAATGTCTTGATTTTTCTTTAGTGTTACTCATGCTTTTCAGTATTACATTACTTTAATAGTGAGACTTGCATAATGAGATTCTGTTACAGAACTGATCTCTGGGTGGAAGCAGAGATTTTTATTAATGTAGACAATCAAATACTGACTGCTAATTAGTTACTGGTTAAAGGAAGGAGCTGTGATAGTTTTGAGTTGAACCACAAGTGACTGATCAGATGCAAATTCTGTAAGCAGAAGCAGGAAATCTGGAAAGCGATTTTTAATTCTTAACTCCTAAGGAGTAATTTGTGTCTTTTCTAACGCTGAGAGGGATGGGTGCGGAAATGCGCTTGAACCACTAATCTACATTTGTCTTTATTCCAGTAAATGAGGAATAGCAAACACGAGACCCACTTCCCTACATGATGTAGACTTCTGCTTTCCAGAACCGTAGCCTGTCACAGATACCAGTAGTAAGGACAGATGAGTAACTGTTAAGGATAGAGCATGTATTTGTGTGGTAAGTTATTAAAGTCAGAATGACAAAAGGGAAGTTCTAATTTTGAAAACTTAAGATGATCAGGCTTGTGTTGATTCAGTTGCTAGAATGAGATCTAATGTGTTAAGAAGGTACAAAGGGAACTACTAATGCAGTCTGTTTGGTGCTCTAACCTGCATTCCTACAGGTATCTCTTTCTTTCTGCTCCTATACATGGAATTAAAGTTATCTTCAGAGGACTGAAGTTAATGGTGTTAGATGTGACAAATTTTAACTTACGACTTTAACATTTAGATTGGTTTCTTCTCTGACAAGTACTGAAAAATACATTTGTACTTATCAAAAGCGCAAGGCTGTTTTTCTCCTTCATTGGTGGAGACTCTCTTGAAACAGTGTTTGAGTTCCATTTCTGTACGTCTTCCCTTTTGTCTCTTCTGTCAGCTCTTCCCCACTTGTGGTCATGCTACTTTTCCTTCCCCTGCTGGCTTCCAGTTTCTTTGAGAAAGCTGTGATGGAAGCAGGTGGCCTTGAAAATATCCTAGGGAAGAGAGTGCTGCTTTGCCAGTGGGTTTTGAAAAGCAAGAGTCTTGACTTTCTCTTCCCACCAACCAGAAACAAACCATTCTTTCCTATATAGACAGGACACTTCAGCATCTTCCAAAAGCCCTGGTAACTCAGTGGTTGTGGTAAGCTAAGATACAGATTTCTTGGAATACATTCAGTGACTGAACTGGAAAGCGTCTGCATTGTATGAAATAGGCGTCAACACAATGGCATCTCAAGAGCTCTTTCTACGTTAGAGATGATCAATGGATGAAACACTGTGGCAAATCATTCTAGATTATAGTTATAAAATGTATTGGATCTCAGTCTATGAAAGTAAAATAAAGTCAGTGACAGCTAAATGATGAGAGAGTAAAATTCTAAGTACTGCAGCTCTGACTTGGAAACTGTAGTTTCCAAGAAGCAAGAATAAATGCATAACACTTCAGGAAGTTGCTTATGCGAAACTTTTTTTTTTGACTCTTTAGTTCCAGTATAAAATCTTTAGGCCCTGCCTTTGAATGTCTTTATGGTTCAGTCTAACTTAATTTGTTTCTTGTACCACAAGACCTCACACAGAATAATAATAATCTTTCAGAAAAAGTAAATTTGACTTCAGGTTTTTTAGTTAACTTGAAAGAAGACCAATTATATAACTGTCACAAAAATACGACTCCACCTCTATACTGCAGCTACATGTTGACTTGCCGGACTAGATAAACTTAATGTTGTAAAATGAATAGTAGTTTAGGATCATATGGGAGAACTGCCTGTTTATAAACCACCATCTAGCAATCTTTGCTTTCTGCCACTTCTTTTCCCTTTTTTTCAGAAGAACTGTTTCCAGTGGTTATATGTCTGTGTAATAGCATGTTAGACCATTAAGCAGATTCAAGATTCAGATCCTGGCTTGAGATTTCTCTGCATTTACTCTGTTCTGTTACTAGATGGCAGCCTTATTCTAGATTATGTCTAATGAGGTGTTCTTACTATTCATACTAGGAAGAGCATAGTTTTTGGTGAAAGTACACTGGAAGATTATTTTTCTTTAGAATATCACTTGCACGTATCTAACTTGGGAGCCTAAAATCCTGCTGATGGGTGTTACTGGCTATCTGCACTGAAAGTAGATGGCTTCATCAGTTGTGGGATGTTAGCTCTTGAGCCTTAAAAATTGGTAGAGATGAATAATTTGTCAAGACTGAATAACTCTGAACTTTCAGTTGGCAATTTAATAAAAAATGGCTTAAGGAAACTTTTTTTTTCTGCAGCTCCCCTGGAAGTCCTGTATTTTTTTTGTTTTTAAGTTTTCTTTGGTCAAATTTTACAAACATCTCTAGTTTTCTTGTTATTTTCACTCTAATACTGTTGCAATTGATTTTAAAAAGTTGAAAATGGGGCAAGGTATTGGGGAATACTTTGCAGATTATCATCACCCTGTGGTTGGGCAGCAGGATTTACAGAGAGGGAGACTAGAATTGAGATATTTGCTTCAATTATCAGGTCCTAAACACAGTCTTTGGGTTGGTTTTACTTAGTGCCTTTTAATTTTTTTGAGTTTTTGTAGGTTTGGGGGTGGGGTTTTTTTTGGGTGAAACAGTGATCCATGTAGGTTACTAGCAGCGCTGTGTCTTCCTTGTATCTTGGACTGTACTATTGAGGATGCTTAGTGTCTTAATGCCAAACAGGACACGGTGCTCGACTTCTGTAAGATGCTGATAACCTTTAAGGTATTGCTAACCTGTGATTAAACAATGTAACCAGAACGCTGTCTTAAACCACTGTTCTGTTTAAGGTTTTCTGAGTTGCTGTTCTGCAGAATATGATTCCTCTGCATACATGAACATATGCAGGTATTGCCAATGTCCTATTTTGTATCTCTAGGTGCATCTATGCAAGTGTTCTTGTTCGGATTTGGAGCATGTGTTTGAAGAAACTTCCCGACAGTCTTTACTTCCAGTGCTTATGTTTGCATCGTGGAATGGTTTTGGGCAGGAAGGAATTAGATTCCTTTTACAAAAAAACTGACCTTGAAGATGTCCTTCAACTCTTTGTGGGTGTCTGGTCTGCAGAACCAGGTCTGCTTGTAGCAGATGTCGGGCTCTCATTACCAACTGTTTCACTCTACAGATTTCCCATTGTGCCTCACTTCTTGCTTATTATGAAAATACAGCAGAACAAATGTTAAGTTTAACCAATGCTTTCAGGTGAGTTGTTATCCTTCAAAGTATTAATAATGCCATTGGTGTTTTGTAAGCTCCCTACTTCTTTATTTCACTGTGGATTCTGACAAATATCCCCTAATGAATCCAACTGTAACATTTCAAGATGTTGTTTGCCTACCCTTTTTGGAGGTTGCAACCTAGGTAGCAGTGATGGTAGAACAGCTCTAATAAGTGGTAGAATATTTTTTTCCCCCCCTCTCCTTTAGGCTGTCAGTTTCAAACTCACTAGTAGTTACAGAAAGTCTGGCTGCCCCAAAGTTGTATCTGATTAAGCAGTTTTTCTGTAGAGATGAATGGTGATCAATTTTGCTGTTTTGTGGTTGACACTGCAGAAATACACTGTATGACTTCAGTAGATATTGCAAATTCATAATGAACTGCAAATATCTGTAAATTAATGTGCTAGAGTGGTTTTTTCTGCTCTTACTTTAAAAAGGGCTGCTCATAGCTGCTAGCTGTTCAGTGGGATGTGCAGTCTAAGTCAAAATCAAGAAATCGATTAGGCAGAAGGCAGTGGAAATGGAAAAATCTGTTGGTTTTTTTTTTTTTTTTTTTTTCTCCAGAAGAAAAGCTAAACCAGATTTCACTGAAGTTGTTTACTTTCAAGCTCAAAACATGATTCTCAGGAATCATTTGGTGTCATCATGCAGCACATCCCCCAGGAAAAACTCAGGTACCCCTCCCTCATCTTCCCCCCACCTCCCTCAAGCTGCTTTTCTTGGTGCTTCTTAGCTTTGTACCTAGAACCTGAAGTCCGTCTTCTAAAAGTTAGTTTACTACTTTTGGTCTCCTCCTATGCACTACTTATCTCTGTCGTAACTTAATCTTTAATTTTGTCATAAGGGTTAAGAAATAAATACTATTTTTAATCCTGAACACTGTTGAAGATCATAATATGCTCTTGAGAACAGTGGGTGTTCCAGATACCAGGAGTACAAACATTAGCAATCTGGCAATTTTCTATGTCTCAGTGGTTTTTGTTTTGTCTTGGAATAAACAGCTTTTGAATATTTTCTTGAAAATATCTTGCTAATAAAGAAAAATCTTCAGATTCGGGTCTGAGTTACTTTATTTGGAGAAGTTGTGGAGCAGAATGTGTTTGTGTGTACTTGCACATGTGAGGACATGTAATGATCAGATGCATGGTTGGAGTCTGCTACGTAGGTGGTCTGGCCCCCAGGTCCTGATCCTCCGCAACAGCCGTGTTTCATCGAAGGTCACTGAACTAGCTAGAGCAACAGGTGAACCGAGAGTTCTGGTTTTCAGTAAAACGAATAGATGATACTGAGTCCTAACACTGATTTTACTGCCACTGCATGGTGGTCCATAATGTATTTGAAAGTAAAGTTTATTGATGGAGTTTACTACTTTGGCAATTAAATTAAAATAATTCTCATTTTTATTTAAGTAAAGGGATACTGTTTAACAGCATAGTATATGAATCTTTAGATTTAGTGTTGTTATGACATGTGTAAGAGGTGTACTAGGTATTAAATCTATCTTAAGAAACCACACAGAGTATCCTGAAGGCAGTTCAGGTTTTGTCCTGAACACAAGACACAAGTCAGAGGGGAGGCATGAGTGTAAGAAACTCATGAAAAGAATGGCTGTTAATTTGCATGACACTGTTGGCTGGAGAACTTTATTAAAAATACAAAATGTTGAGGTGTTCATTTCTGAATTTCAATTCATTTCAAACCTGAAATGAATGAAGTCAGAAATGCAAGGCTCAACTTTTTTTACAATTCACTAAGGAACCTATGCTACTGTAGAATGATGGTTAAGGTGTGATTGCTTTTTACTTCATCTTTCTGAAACAGTGGAGGATAATGCTTACTTTCTATCATCTTGAAAGAGTAACAAATCTGTTCTTTAAGACAGAACAATTACAAAGAATGAAAGACAGTACAGTAAGTTGAGATACTTAAGACATTGAGATGTGTCGAGTCTTGGCCAAGTACTGATGCAGAGCCTGAACCTGTAGTTTTACCTCTTAATTATGTTGAAAAAGAAGAAACAAAAAACTTAAAAAAAAATTTGTACAAGTAGAATTTCCTACCAAACTGAGTGGACAAATCCATTGTAAGATTTGAAGATGAGCATTAGAATTTACTCTTAGGGTTTTTTTTTTTCTAGTGACGGGTCTTAATATCCAGTGAAAGGCTTTTAAGAAGGTCCTTTTAAAGCAAACTGTTTATTTAACTAGATGTTTAAAGTGATGGATGTCTTCCTAACACTTACCTAGAGGAGTGTTTTGAAAATAGTACCTCAAAGCAGTGAATAATGGGCTGAATGGAAATCAAAAAAGCAGCCTAATTTACATAAATACTAATAGCTGCATTCTGAAGAATGGCTTAACTGCCCTGATAGGGAAGAAGTGTCCCACAGGGTGTAGGATTACTCATGAGTCTAGTCACTTCTCTGTATTTTTATTTCATTGTGGCTCACACCCATTTTAAAAGGATCTGAGACTCTCATCCAAAATATTTAGCTTACGTTTCTTGGCACTGACCAAATTACGAACTTGGCAACTTGTATGATGTTGCTTGCAACATTCACAGTGCTATCTACCGGCATGCAGTTTCTTAGCAACAGTGAAGCTCACGTTTACGTACAGCTCATGCGTATGCATCTAAATGTAGTTCTGGAGGAAAAAAAGAAGGTTAAAGGGGTACAGAGTTTGGAAGAGGAAGCAGATAGCCTAACAGCTTGAACTGTTCAGCAATTTTGATTTTGAGACTACTGGCAGCAGTACATAGGAAGATATGTCTTGTAAAATGTTTTGTCTTCTAAAGTCTTTATTAGGTTGTTAATGTATTACAAGAACTTGAAAACAAAATGAACAGAACCCCACTCTTACCAGCTATAGAAAGATTAAAAATACAGCAAATGGGAGAGAGCGGGGGACGTGTTCTATTTTGAATGCCTGCATTACAAATGCATTCCTGGGAAACAAGACTAATTATTTGAACATGGGGCATCTGAGAAAGTCACAAAAATGATATATAGCTGTTTTGTGAGACTAACAGATGGGTTGAGATTGCGTTAGATTAATTATTTCTGAGATTATTGTTTGCTGCTTGCCAATTTAGTACTGTTTGCTGATCAAGTTAAGGGGCTTGTGACAGCTTGCGCCCTTTATGACTGCAGTAATACTCAAAAGCACAATGACTTCAAAGGCCACTGGCAGACTTATTGTATGATGATTATATTAATCTCAATTTCTGGGATTTCAGGCATGTGGTTCTCATTATTAGCCAGTGTTACAATTGCAGTGGAGTTTCCTTATATAGCAAAGGGAGGAAGGTAATTGTGGCTCACTCCAGACACGAGAGGGAGGCAGGGACCAGCATGACCAAGTTAGGAATGGTGAGGTAGAAAAAAGAAAGCTAGACTTAGCTAGAGGATGGAGAACGGTGTAATGATGAGAATTAAAGATGAGTGTGTTAAGGCTCTTGGGAGACAGACATGGAGACCTTCTGTAGGATATCATGGTGGAGAAAGCAATGCATGTGTTTCAGATTTCTGGAGATGTGAGGAGGAGCAGGGCAGTTTGAGACCAAGGGAGAGGTGATTGGAGGGGTGCTGCATTTGTAGGAAGAGATTCTTTTTACCTAAAAATCGGGTGGTTTAAGAAAGGAATTTTTAGGGGCTGTATTCTTTTTTTTTTTTTTTCTCTCCTGTGGTGTTTGGGCTTCCCCATCAATATCCTTAGTTCTGAGTTTACTGGGCTTTTCTTGTGGGAAACAGATTCAGACATGATGTGGAAGATGAACAAGATCTCCCACCACCCCTGGGAGTGGGATTGAGAGTGTTAATCTGTGTTTTTCAGAGCTGGCTCAAAATGAGGAAACATCTTGTAAAGAAGGTTTTTGAGGACCAGAATGAACTGAGTGAGTGGACACTGATTTAAAGAAAAAAAAAAAAAAAAAGTCACATCCTGACATGATGGGATATTTGTGATCTACATTGAAAGGAAGTGAGCTGCAGTCTCCCATTATGATACTCCACTTTCATCTTATCACATTAAGTGTTGCTATTCTGATTAGGTGGTAGTAAGGACCAAATACCTTCCTGTTTCAGCCTGGAATCTAGTCCATGAGAATGTTGCTTTAATTTTGGAAATGGTAGGTTTACATATTTGGAATAAGGGGAACTGAACATACTTGTAAATCAAAGTTGTACTTTGTTTAGCACAATCATAAAATGGTTTGGGTTGGAAGACCTTTAAAGATCATCTCATCCAACCCCCTGGCATGGACAGGGACATTTTTCACTAAATCAGATTACTCGCAGCCCCGTCCAACCTGGCCTTGAACACTTCCAATGATGGGGCATCCATAGCTTCTCTGGGCAACCTGTTTCAGTTCTCTCACCACCCTCATTGTAAAAAATTTCTTCCTTGTGTCTAATCTAAACCTACCCTCTTTCAGTTTAGAACCATTGCTCCGTGTCCTATTTTTACAGGTTCTGAGAAAAAAGTCTCTATCTTATAAGCACCCTTTAAGTTCTGAAGGGCTGCAATAAGGTCTTCCTGGAGCCATCTCTTCTCCAGGCTGATCAACCCCAACTCTCTCAGACTGTCCTCAGAGGAGAGGTGCTCCAGCCCTCTGACCATTTTTGTGGCCCTGCTCTGGACCCACTCTAACAGGTCTGTGTCTTTCTTGTGCTGGGGATGCCAGAGCTGGACACAGTACTGCAGGTGAGGTCTCATGAGAGCAGAGTGGAGGGGGAGAATCCTCTTCCTTGACCTGCTGGCTGCTCAAGTCAAGTAAGTGGAGTAATTTTTATGACTGAAGTGCTGAATAAGTACAGCTTACTTAAGGAAAAACAAGGACAGGTAAGAGGAGAAATTCTTCCTTTGTGTGTTGAAGATGCTTTTGTTTAATCCACTAAGCAATGTTGAAAGCCTTTACAGGTACAGTGAAGAAAAAAAAGTGATGCTAGTTCTCTTTAGATTCCTCAAGTAGGCTATTTGTCATCTATGTGTCTTCCCTAGTACAGGGCATAGTGTTCAGGAAGACTTCAGCTACTCTGGCAATTTCCAGAAAATATTATTGTAACATGCACAGTCTAGAAAAATTTCAGCACTTCTTTTGATGAGCAGTCCTGAAAGCAACTCATGGTGAACGTCTTCTGTATTTGCTTCTGACTGAAAAGAAGGAATGGGTGGAGGAGGGTGGTGAATTGGATGAAAGTGACTGTTAAGCAATGGCCTGGAAAGCATACTTGAGAAAATCAAAGAATTAGTTGAAGTCTGAGGACAGAAGATTTAGTGGTTTCTTAAAGACCTGCTGTAAGGGCACAAATGCAAGCTGGTTTTCTGGGAAGAATAGATAGCTGTAATTGCCACTACCTAATTAGAAGTTATTCATTAGTCTGAAACTGAAGGAGCCATGCAAAAAGGGGGTACTAGGTCAGCTTTTGAACATGTCTTATAAAAGAATAATACTCGTGGGTAGAGATGTTTTGTATCGAGTCCTTCCAATAACAAGATAGAGCTGGCAATACTGCAGCAAGAAAACATTCTGTAAATGTA